CAAAAGAAAATGCAAGTGCTGTCTGGAGAAATTCAACTTAATTCAGCCTTCAAGTGTTTCTTAAAAACAACATTCCAAAGAGAATGAGCAAGTCATCGTTAGGAATTACATAAAATCAAGGAGACAATCACTATGAGAGAGAAACCATGGATGGTAGGCTGAAAGAGATTCACAAAGACATCAGATCCTGGAAGTGACAAAAATATAAAAGTATTTTATATATTTTTAAAACAGAGAGAAACTTGAAAATCTGTACAGGGAACAAGAGATAGAATCAAGCATATTTGAATAAGAAAGGAAAATATAATTGAAATTTACATATTTGAATAAAACATTCCAGAAAGAACTAATAGAATGAGGAAGAGACACCATTCAAAGAAAAATATTAAGAATTTTCCAGGCCGGGCGCGGTGGCTCAAGCCTGTAATCCCAGCACTTTGGGAGGCCGAGGCGGGTGGATCACGAGGTCGAGAGATCGAGACCATCCTGGTCAACATGGTGAAACCCTGTCTCTACTAAAAATACAAAAAATTAGCTGGGCATGGTGGCACGTGCCTATAATCCCAGCTACACAGGAGGCTGAGGCAGGAGAATTGCCTGAACGCAGGAGGCGGAGGTTGCAGTGAGCCGAGATCGCGCCATTGCACTCCAGCCTGGGTAACAAGAGCGAAACTCCGTCTCAAAAAAAAAGAATTTTCCAAATTGTTTGAAAGACTTCAATCTTCATATTAAGCCCAACAAACCTCAAACATATTAATATTTATAGACATAGATGTAGATATAGATAACAAAGAAAAAACGTAACTATCAAAACCATTGGAGAGGACAGTATCACTTACATAAGAATGGCTACTAAATAAATAATGAAATTCTTAACATCAGCAATGGAAACCAGAGACAGTAAAATATATTCAAAGTATTGATTGAATAACAAAGAGTTCTATGCCAAGTAAAACAAGGGGAAGTGCCAAACAAACTTGAGAATGTACCACCAAATGGCCCTCACTAAATGGGTTCTGAAGGATATGATTCAGACCGAAGGAAAATAATCTGAGACACATGGTCTGAGTTTTAAGGAGAAACAGTGAACTAAGATAATTATGGGACAATCTAAAGAAACCATTGATTATGAAACAAAGATAATTTGCGGGGAAAAATAAAGCAGACTAGATGTAAAATGCCAAGTTGCAGTCACATATAAGTTTGAAGGGGGAATGCAAGGCCCAATATTAACTTATTAATATGTATGAAATAAGGCAAACACTAATAGGATAGATTCAGTGTATACCTTCAGTGGAAGTAGAAGAGTCAATAAGCAAAAGAAAATAAAAGAGTCCAAATGAAGGGAGAGAAGGGAAAAAAACAAGTAAACTAGAGCAGATCAAATGTTCACAATGTGAACCAAATCACTAATCACAATAAGCATAAGTAGACTAAATTCTCCAGTTAAGGTTTTGTTGTATTTTAGAAACAAAATTCAGCTATGTGCTTATTAAACAGAAACACCTAAAATACAGAAAGATTAAAAGTCAAACAATGGAAAAGATAAACCAGGAAAATATTAACCCAAAGCAGCCAAGTATAGTCATATTAATAGTAAAAGATAATTTTGGCAAAAAGTATTACAAGAAATTTCCTACATAATGATAATTCCACTTACTAGGAAAAGGTATCGATTCTAAATGTACGTATATATGAAGTGTGTGTAGCCTCATGATATATAAGGCTAGACTGACAGAATTAAAAGGAAAAATTTTAAATCCATCATCATAGTAGAAGATTTTAACACACGTCTCAGTTATTAGTAGATGAAACAGACCAAAAATCAGTAAGAAAGTAGAAAATGTGAACGGTAACACTACAGAGCTTGAATTAATGGGCTTTTACTGCCTCTGACATTTGGAAAAGACATGCTTCTTTCAAGCACACATGGAACTGTTGCTGGGATTGACACACCCTAATCATAAGGCTTGACCAATACGCTTCAAAGAATTAAAATACTCCTGACCGCATTTCTTACTGCAATGCAATTAAGTTGGGAAACAAAGCATGTAAGATCATTAGAAAAGTTCACTCACTTGGAAATTTAATAACACATCAATGTATGAGTCAAAGGAGAAATCATAATTGAAATTAAAAGATTTCACCATCTAGTTTTTTACATCAGACACGTGGAATACAATACGTGGAAGGATATGTAGAGCATTAAGTGTTTGCCTTAAAAAAAAAAAATGAAGCTAAGATCTAATTGAATCAAAGACCCACAGAAGCAGAAGGAAGGAAATTAAAAGGACAGAAATTAGTGAAATAAACACACAAAAGAAGAGATCAACAAAACAAAAGACAAAAACTATGTATTTGAAAAGGCATGATTTTTTTTTTTTAAAAAACACAAATGGAACAAAAAAGTGTAAGTGCAGATGCTGCAGAGAAAGACAAGAGGAAATAAGAACTGCTCTCAACATACTTCAGAACTTTAATATAGTGGATGACTTCCTAGAAAGACAGAACTTAGCAAAACCAACTCAAAGAGAAACACAAAATCAGAATCATCCTTTGCTGTCAAAGAAATACAACCAACAGTCAAAATTTTTCACATAAGGAAACCAAGTCAAAATAGCTCTATCTGAATGCTGCTAAACATTCAGGAAACAGCAGTTTCATTCTCACCATTCTTACACAGAGACTAGAAAACAAAACACTCTCAATGCATTTATGAGGCCAATATAACCTTCACAGCCAAACTGTAAGAACACAGCCAGAAAGAGGAGGACAAGCCAACTCAATCTTTATGAACATGAGGATGCAAAATTTTGAACAAAAGTGACCAACCGAGATCCAACAATGAATAATAAAAGATGACACATCATGATCAACTTAGGTTTATTCCAGGGACTTGATGACTATTAGAATTGTTATCAATAAAATTCACCTTAGTTACAGATTTAAAAGGAAAACATCTCAATAAAGAAAAAAATAGAATTAAATATCCATATACTGTATAACATTTTTAAAAGTTTTAGCATATTTTTAGAAGGAAATTTTAACTTGAAAAAGGACATCCACAATAATAATAAAAAAAAAATCCAGCAAGCATAGTTAAGGAAGTTAAGGAGAAACATGGAAAGCAGTCCCTTTAAGATGAGGAATGAAGCAAAGATGTCCTCCATCGTCCACTTCACTCCTCTTTAAGATTGCTTTGGGATTTGAGCCAACTCCGTATAGTCAAAAAAAAAAAAAAAAAAAAAGAAACAAAAATTTTAAGGGTGGAAATGTAAAATGGTACGCTGCTGTAGAAAACAGTATGGAGGGTTCCTCAATTTTTTTTTTTTTTTTGAGACAGAGAGTCCCACTCTGTTGCCCAGGCTGGAGTGCAGTGGCATGATCTTGGCTTACTGCAGCCTCTACTTCCTGTGTTCAAGCGATTCTCCTGCCTCAACCTCCCTAACAGCTGGGATTGCAGGTGCCAGCCACCACGCCCAGCCAATTTTTGTATTTTAGTCCACCTTGGCCTCCCAAAGTGCTGGGATTACAAGTGTGAGTGACCGTGCCTGGCCCGATTCCTCAAAAATTAAACATAGAATTAATATATGATCCAGCATTTCCAAAAATAATTGAAAGCAGGGACATAAAAAGATACCTGCACACCCTTGTTCATAGCAGCATTATTCACAGTAGCCAAGAAGCAACCCAAGTATCCATTGGTGGTTGAATGGAAAAGCAAAAGTGATCAATTCATACAATGGAATATTATTCCGCCTTAAATAGGAAGGAAATCCTGACACATGCTACAACATGGATGAACCTTGAGGTCATTATGCTAAGTGAAATAAGCCAGACAGAAAAAGACAAATACTGTATTACACTACTTATATGAAGTCCTACAGTGGACATTCAGTGTCTCTTCTAGAGAGACAGATAGTAGAATGGGGGTTGCTAGGAGTTGGGGGTAGGAATGAGCAGTTAGTGTTTAAAAGATACAGTTTCAGTTTCAGAAGATAAAAAAGTTCCAGAGATGGATGCTGGTGATTGTTGTACAACAATGTGAATATACTTAGCCACTGAATTGTACACCTAAAAATGCTTAAAATGGTAACTTTTGTGTATATTTTACTACAGTTTTAATTTGTTTGGATCCTCAAAGAAAAAAAGAATGGCCTTTGTTTGTGATTGTCCGTAAACACTGCTGCTCTCAATCCAGTGCTTCCTACTGGGCTCAGGATTATTGATCACACAGGGTTTGTGAATGGGAGGGTGTTTCAGAGGCTATCTGCAAAATTGTGTGTACTTTTCCTGAGGAAAAGAGCATAAAGCTTTCATCAGACTGCCAGAGGAGTCTGTGACACACAGAAGTCTAAGACCCATTCTGAGTGGCCCCTCTCGTGCTGTTAATCTCCTCCCCCATCTCATTCCCTGCAATTCTGCTTAGGCTGAGGCCAGACCCCACCCCCACAGCAAAGGCCTGGATCCTTCACTTGGCCGCTCCTCCAACCCCCACTTCCTCTTCTCCCTCTTCTCACCCAAATGCCACCTTTTCTTTCATTCGCTCAGGTGGTTTACAATGCAAAGAATATCCTTAAATATGCTTGAATTCCTGGAACAAGGTTTTATTTTTTATTGTCTAGATAACTGTGGCTCTGAAATCAACCAAAATTCAGGGTTTTTTCTATTGCCCTTCATTTCCTGGATGGTAATGTTAAACAGGTCCAGCTCTAACTCAGAACCAGAAAGGTTCTCTGTCGAATGACTGGAATCCTCCAAACCATGTTCTGTAACCACAAATCATTTTCAACTAGCCTTTCTTGCTGATCCTATGTCTTACATTTCACAAAGGCTGCATTTTAACAAACTAAGACCTCTCACCGGGCCCGTGGTCTGCCTGGGTGGCGGTGAAGAATCTCAGGGTGATAACAGAGAGATGCCTCTCAAATGCAACTTCAAAACATCAAGGGAACGAGAAATGTCACCAGCTTAATTTGTACCCAAATAAATTCTGAGACTTTCTTTTTAACAAAATGCTTTATTTCTATTTTTAAATGAGATACATTGTTAGGCATTCCCATGAAATACCAAAAGGCGTTTACATGTGTCATTTTAACTCTTCTTTTTTGATCACACAAAGTAGGTAGAAAAGATCTGCTGAAATAGAACAAACCAGAAACCAAGTAGTGTAAGGCATTAGGAGATACATGAAGAGAGTCAATATTGGCTTCTTGTACAGCGTGTGGCAGGTCATGGTTAGTAGTCTTCATAGTTGACGCTGGCTCCATGCCTAAAACTGTAGGGGCTCCGGGGACCAATTGCAGAGTCTTCATCATAGTGACGTTGGTAGTAATCGCCATAGTACTCATGTCCATTTCGATCCCTGTTAAGCCAATAGGTGATGTCATCTTCGAATTTCTGGAGAAAGAGAGAGAGAGAATGATAGAGAATGGATTTAAGCACACACAGACCCCTAAGACCTAATCTTACCTATGCTTTTCTCCATGGTGGTTTTTCTTCAATAATTAACAACCCTTAGTAAGAATAACTCCCCATTACCATATTCTTGTGCTCAGTGGCCAACATAGCCAGCAGTATTCACTCTGCTAAAGCTATCTTTTCCCAAAGAAGTGCAGGCCCATACCTTTGCAACGTTTTGTAAAATATTTGCTAAATATACTCCAGACTTAAACATTTTTTTTCTTTCTTGGTAAATCAAATGGACAGCTGCCCAAATACAGTAACAACTTGGCCTGACCCTCAGGCCGCATCTCATTGTGGCAAATACCGTTTTATCTTCCTACTCCATTCCTGTGCCTGCTTCTTTATATTGCATGCAGTAGATGCTTAATAAATGTTGCCCAAGTTAGATCAACCACTGCACTGGCCTATTATAGTGCCAGGGCAGAGAACTGGGGGTATATTTGATGGTGACTCTTATACGGATGTTTTTAGTTAGAGTGTACACAGATGTACTTATTCATTCCACAAACGCTATGAGATGGGCGCCGTGTGTCAGGCCTGGCCCTGTGCTGGGCACTGGGGGGCTGCCAAAAACAGGGTCTCTGCCTTCAAAAAGCCTATTGTTCCTGAGAGACAGATACGAGAAGAGACAGTTGCAGCTAATAAAAGGGATGGAGAAGCTAAAGCTGAGGAAGAAGTGTAGAGTGATGCTCAGGGTTTTGGTTTGGGCACCTGATCTTTGCTATTTATACATTTTTTTTTTTTAAAGGAGAGGCTAAATTTTCTTCGGTGGTGGTAAAGGTGCAAGATTAATTTAGACTGGGACTCACATGTGTTGATGCTCAGGATGTGGCAAGAGATTTCGTGTGAGAGCAAAAAGGCAGGGAGACGGCAGATGGGCTGGGTGAACGGGTCATGCAGTGTGGGGTGCAGGGGAGTTTTTCTCCGTGTGTGGCCCGTGCACCCCTTACATCCAAATCACACATGCAGGTTGTCGGGCACCAGCCGCTCCATGCCTCCTGCATGGAACTTTCTGATGTCTGGGTCTCGGCAACCTGTTTTTATTTTAACAAGACTGCCAGTGAACATTAATTAACATATGAGAATTTTTGTGAGGCTGAAATCCCCAGCCTAGCCCATGACTGTGGTCTCTGGGGCTCAGTGGTCATCCACTCTTGGTGGGTAGTGGGCCAACTAGTGCTGGGCTAAAGAGCATGATTCCAGTGTCTCACTGCCATTCTCTACACCTGGGGTCTGAATCATCTGAGCACACCTCAGCCTCTGCCTCGGGAAGGAGGACACTGACTTCTTTGGCTCCATCTCTAGTTTTGCTTCTCCCATTATACAACATTTTTGGCCATGGTGAAACATTCTTGCTTCTTGGGTTTTCTCATTTTATTTTATTTTTTTAAGAGGGAGTTTTACTCTTTCACCGACGCTGGAGAAGTGGCACAATTTCAGCTCACTGCAACATTTGCCCCCACCCAGGTCCAAGCACTTCTCCTGCCTCAGCCTCCCAAATAGCTGGGGTTATAGCCATCCGCCACCACGCCTGGATAATGTTTTTTTGTGTTTTTAGTAGAGACAGGGTTTCACCATGTTGACTAGGCTGGTCTCTAACTCCTGACTTGAGGTGATCCACCCACCTTGGCCTCCCAAAATGCTAGGATTACAGGTGTGAGCCACCATGCCCGGCCTCTCATTTTATAAGTTTTAGCTTAAATATGTATTTTCAAAAGATTTTAAAAATGTTTGATGAATACAGAAATAATGTAGGCTCAGATTTTAAAATCTGTATATAAGAGAAGAACATAGAAAAAGAAGATCATATTCCTTTGCCAGAAACCACCACTAGTGAGACTTGGACGTATTCATTGCAGTCTTTTTAGTGCATGTTGATTTATTGTAATCTTATTGGATCCTAATCTTTATTCTGGTTTTGTCACAGAGATTATTCGAGCAGTTGCTGCATGCTAAACTCTTTTTTTTGAGATGGAGTCTCACTCTGTCATCCAGGCCGGAGTGCAGTGGCGCGATCTCAGCTCACAGCAACCTCCACCTCCCGAATTCAAGCGATTCTCCTGTGTAATCCCCCTGAGTAGCTGAGACTGCAGTCATGAGCCACCATACCCAGCTAATTTTTTGTATTTTTCGTAGAGACGGGGTTTCACCCTGTTGACCAGGCTGGTCTCAAACTCCTGACCTCAGGTAATCTGCCTGCTTTGGCCTCCCAAAGTGATAGGATCCAGGCATGAGCATTGTGCCTGGCCCTGCATGTTAAATTCTTAATGCCCATTTTAATCATGGTCATCAAAGAAATGCAAATTACTAAAAGAGGATATAGCATTTTCATTCTTCAGATAAGGAAACATGTATTTTTAATGTTCAATGAGAACACCAGATATTGCTGAAGATTCTAGGAAACTGTTGCTCTTACATGTGACTCACAGGAATGTGCAATTTGCAAATACTCCGAGTCGGTTAAATGTGATTCCACCCTTGCCCCAGGAACCTCACTGGGGTTCTAAGAAGGCGGTCTAAGTAAAGGTCAAACTCCACAGAGATGCAAATAACAGCACCTGCCTTTTGGGTTGTTGTGAAGGTGAAGTAAGTTCATACCTCTGAATACTTAGGATCATGCCTGGCTCAGAGTTTGGCTATACGTGTTTAGCTGTTTGCACATAAAAGGAAAAAAAGCAGAAGACACTTCGGGAACAAGTCATATGTCCAATGTCTGGAAATGCGAAGGAAATTATGGTATAGCCACATGATTTCATTTTACGCAGCCATTAAAAATGATATGTCTAAGGGGCTTAGTTTTTTCTTCATCTACTGCAGTATTGTGTATACACCGTCTAAATGAATCGTGTGCCTGTTTTGAAAAATCACTTCCAACTGTACAGTTGGAGGTGCTGCCCATAAAAAGCCTATTTGCTCCCTGGTGGGGCTGCACAGGCCACGGGTCCTCCCTCTACATCTCACATAAAGAGCTCAGCCTTCTCAGTTACTGTGGATGGATGCCCATGCGGCCACATCTGTGACTTCCACGGGCTGCCGTCTCACCTATGCATTCACCCCAGCTGGGAGCCTGAGATTATAAACTCTTTGTACTTCACTCAGTGAACATGCCATCTAGGTGCATGAACTGTAAACCATCTTTTCCTTTAAGCGCATTGTCAAATTTTCCCCAAAACGTCTACAAAGACCCATCCTCTCTTTACAAGTCCTTTTTCATCTCTTTTTCTTATCATCATAGATCTGTCATCCCTGTTGTTTCTGATAGTCTTCAAGGTAAAAGTGAAAAGGTTTTGGGAGATTGTGAGTTATTTTAAGACTACCCAGACAAAACTGTTCAGCCAAGTTAAAAGCATTCCCAGGAAAGTCAGATTCCCAATGAATCTACGTCCCAGCCATTTTGGTCCTTGACTGCCCTGGGTTCTGCCTCCTGAACATGCCCTGGTGGAAACTTCTAGCCATCACCCTTACACCATAGGTAATGTGATCCAGTGCCTGACAGCACTTAGCATCAGTGCTCTTATTTTAGGACTGAACAGCAAAGCTGAATTTTCTGCTTCCTATTTCCCTGAGCCAGGCCTCCTCCCTGCCACTCTGCCCTGTGGAAGCCAGGCCTGCAGACAGAGGCAACACCCACCGCTTCGTCAAAGCCCATGTAGAGAAACTGCTGGTACCACTGCTGCACCTCGGGCCGAGTCCGGTCCCACAGCTGCCGCTTCTGGCGCTTCAGGCTGCCGAGGAATTCTTTGGCTTTGTTCTCATCAACAGCCACGTTAGTCTTAGTTGGAACAGGTGCTGAAATCATCAATTCCCCATCCCCAAAACACAAAGAATGATTATTACCTTCCTCAACCGCAGTGAATCCTGTTATACATCCCATTCCACACCACCATGGTTTCGACTCTCAATTTCATTCTTCCTTGCATGGGACAATGTGACACAGCCTGGTAGCATCAGTCCCCATGCTTCCTGTAAATTCTATTTGTTATAGCCCTATAAAGGGGCATGAACTAAACTTCAGCCTCTAGGTCTTCAGGGTAGAAATGAAATTCAGCTCATCCCCTGCAGCCCTCTCGCACCCGGAACCCATTCCTTTCCAGGGGCAAGTGGCCCACCCCTCAGGCTCCGCATTCAGGAAACAAATTCGATATCTGCTGCCACACAGGTATACTGGCCTGTCCATTGCATATGCAAACACAAGAGGGTTGTGCTTGGCTCAGGAGATTATGTAAGAAAAGGAACTCTTACAAGAGCTTCTGAAAGAACCACTACACATAGAAAAGAATAACCAGTATCAGCCTTTCCAAAAAATACCAAAAAGTAAAGAGCATCAACATAATGAAGAATTTACATCAACTAATGGGCAAAACAGCCAGCTAACATCAAATGGAAACTCACATATATTATTATTAATCCTAAATTTAAATCGACTAAATCCCTCAATCAAATGACACAGCCAAAACCCATCGGTAGGCTGCATCCAGACTCATCTCACATGCAAGGATACACAAATACTCAAAACAAAGGGATGGAGAAAGATTTACCAACCAAATGGAGAGCCAAAATAAATAAATAAATAAAAAACAGGAGTTGCAATTCTCGCCTCTGATAAAATAGACTTTAAAGCAACAAAGATCAAAAGAGGCAAAGAAGGACATTACATAAGGGTACAAGGATCAGTGCAACAAGAAGAGCTAACAATCCTAAATTTATAAGCACCCAATACAGGAAGCACCCAGATACCTAAGACTTATAAAGAGACTTAGACTCCCACACAATAATGGTGGGAGACTTCAACATCAATATTAGACAGATCAACGAGACAGAAAATTAACAAGGATATCCAGGACTTGAACTCAGATCCGAACAAGTAAACTTAATAAACATTATAGAACTCTTCACTTTAAATACAGCAAAATATACACTCTTATCAGCCCCACATCACACCTACTTACAGGTTTAAATGAAATATTGGTTGGCTGCTTGTTTGTTATTTTCTTCCCTCATTTCTTCCTGTCTCCATTATTAAGCACAATTATTGGTATAAGAGGTTTTCAATACCCATTTTTAGACTGCATTCTAGCCTGGGCAATAAAGCAACACTTCCGTTCTCTCTCCCTCTTCCTCTTCCTCTTTCTTCCTCTCCTTCATTCTTTTTTTTTTTTTCTTTCTTTCTCTCTTTCTTTTTTTTTTTTTTCCTTAAAAAAAAAAAAAAGGAAAGAAAAGGAACCAGAATGATGAGCCCCAGGTGAGCAGGGACCAGCCCCTGCCCAACAGTAGAGCTGATTCTCTTACCAGCCTGCTGGGACACAAAGTCCCCTTAAGCCACTGCCTCTCTGTGCCTCACAGTCCGACCGTTGATGCAGGGTACTGACCCGCACCCTCACACTGCTGCTGCTAACAGTTTTTCTATCACAGTCTCAATTGTTGAAACGGAACCACTTCTGCAGGTGTGCTCGAGGAAGCCACTGTGCCGTTAGGTGTTCTGCCCTGCTGTTACATTTTGAGCCTCTGTCCCTTCATCTATAAAAGCAGAAGGACAGTTCCTCTTGATGACATTAGGAAAAATGCACAGGATTATGGAAATGCAGGCCTGATGTGTTGGTTGGTCATATGGATAAGTAGCCCCAGGTTTTTTGTTTGTTTGTTTGTTTTTTACAATCCCTTCAGGGACTGTTACACTGTTTTGTACACAGTAGGTGCTCAATATGTGTTTCTTGGTCTGAACTGAGTAAAGGCTGCGGGATGCACATGTAGGAGTTGTGACTGTCTCAGCAGCTTGCTCACCTATGACAAGCTGGCTCTGTGAGGGCGTTGTTCATCCCTGGGCATCCGTGAGGAAAAGCTCCCACAACCCCACAGCACGGGGGGTACCCTCTGAGCTGCCTCAGAGGTTGGGGATGGATCAGGGTTTCATAGGTGGCTGGAAACCTAGGGAAAGATGCTGGAACTGCCTCCAAGGAATTCCTTGCCCTCAAGAGGGGCCACCTGTTCTCCAGCCATCTGCTGGGGGGTCCCTGAGCAGCAACTGGGGAGTATGGGAAGAATGACTAGGACCCCACTTCAGGAAGTTCAGCCTGCTAGAATCCCCTGTAAACTAGGAAGGAAAGAATAAGTGACTAAATGGTCACATCGGAAATGTGGTAACACTTTTTCATTTCTAAAGGATTCTCAGTTTTACAGATGGAGATAAAAGCTGGGAGAGGGAAAATGACATTCACAAGATCCCACAATTGATCCATCTGATCTGATTACAGCAGGTCCGGAACCTGTGTGTTGTGACCCCCAGACTCTTCAATTTCTATGACATTTTGCTGCTGTCACATTTATCTTAAATACATTTTTCAAAACAGAGGCTAATAACAAGAAAGCCTTTCCTGTTTGAAATCTTTCCCCAAGAGCTCATTGGATACAGGGACTGCCGTAACAATGCCGTTCCATGCCCGCCCCACCAACTGAGGCTTATGTGTTCTAAAGATAGTCTCTAAAGTGCTTCATGGTTCTAAAATAAATAGCATGCAATTAACCCTGTACCACTGTTTCTTTTATTTTTGAGTCCACGCTGACAGCTTTCAGAAAAATAACCTTCAGACATTTACTGGCGCTAATATTTATCTAATAAAAGACCACACCACACATCCACAGAATAAGCCCTTCATATCTGCTAACCTTCTATGGAGTAAACACTTTTGATTTTCCAAATACAAGACTCCAGTGAGCACATTCCATATTGCCATTTCATTTCCATCCAGTTAAGAATGCATCTCTTATCCATTTGGGAAATATTTACCTTCTCGTTTTTGAAGCATCAGCTTGAGTTTATTTCCACGTATGCCACCTAAAGGAATGAAAATCGAAATCCATATGAGAGTTACACTGTACCCTTCAATTTATCAAATGCAGAAATCAGAGTGGGAAAAAAAGAACTGCAGGCCCCTGCCCTGATTTGGCAACTTGGTAATATCATGGTATTTAATGCTTGTAGTATTCCCTGTCCAGGAGGACAACCAATTCAGGCGGCCCATGGCTAATATCGGTGATAATGACCACAGCTGACCAAGGGCATTATGATTTGAGCTAGTCAGAGTGATGCTGTTCTTTTAGCCCTGTGTCTTACTATGAAGGGCAACCATCTGTCAGGCGCATCTTCCTGCAAACTTTCGCTGCATGGTGTAATACATTGAATAGTGTCCTCCCGAAATTCCTAACCACCAGAAACCCCTGAATGTGAGCTTATTTGGAAATGAGGTCTTTTCAGATATAATCCGTTAAAGATCTCAAGATTTTTCTTTAAAAAGAAATTTTTGAACAGCCTGACTCATCACTGAGAGGGTCTCAAGATGTTATACGGGACTTAGACGAACAGAAATCCAGTGACTAGTGTTCTTATAAGAAGAGAGGATCCAGAGAGGTCACCCTTGTGAAGACAGAGGCAGGCAGAAATGGGAGTCGGGCTCCCACATACTGGAGAACTTACTTTCGCTCTCTGAAAGTGCAGCCCAGTTTTGTAGCTTGGCCATCACCCTAAAACCAAGCATGATTTGTACCACTTGCTGCTATTTGTATTCAATTTTAAAAGTATTTCTGATCAGCTCAATCATTTTTAATAGAAAATACCTTGTCTGCCCTGATAGAACACACCCCTCCACCCAGTGAACTGACTTGCGGACCTATAGAAGCCTCTGACCCTTAACTGCTGCATGCAGACATGCTGACTTCGTAAGCAGTGAGTAGAGCATCCTCAGGTGTAAGGAACCAGAGTCTGGCCCCAGATTGGAGGTAATTGTGACCACTTTCTCAGCAGGGTTCTTAGCCTCTCCTTCCATAGACAGGCTCCAGGGTGTCTAGAAAGGTATGGAAAATTGTGTTTGCATCTGCAAAGGCACAATTTTCTGGGAATGGGAACCAGAGCTTTTGCCAGACTCTCGAAAGCATCTGTGACCCCAATAAAATAAAAAACCTCTGCTTTGTTTGTGAATTACATCAATAAAGTTGGGAGAAAAGAAATAAATATTTTAAAAGAGAACCTCTGCATGAAGGAGTTGGGGAGAAAAAAGTATCCACAGCTAAGAATCACAAACTGGCTGCCCTACATGGGGATGCACTTTATTAGCATACCCAATGTTTACAAATTGTGAATTTGAAGACCTCTGAGCCAAGTCACTCAGCACATCCATGGTCCATAAGCAGCCACCTGACCTACTAGCCTTCTGTAGCATCTGCATTAAGGTGCTACCTACCGGCCTGCAGAGTCATTGGGCCATCCAGGGAGCCTGCTGGCCTGTCCTCTGGGATGGGACAGGGAACCTGCTAGAACTTACTATTTCCTGCTAAGTGCCTCCCTCGTAATTCACAGGTATGGTGGACACACTCTTTAGCTGTTCAGGGAGAGCCCCAGTACATACCGCTGTCCTTGTAAATTAATTTTGCTCTCAAATGTGTTTCAGCTTGGATGATAATTACATGGCCACCCAATTTTTCGAGGTTTAATGGCATGGAAATGGCTTCGTAAGATCTCTAGGGACACCCTGAAGGGCCAGGAAAGAGAGGTGGTGGTTGCCCTCGCACCTTCCCTAGGAGGGCTGGGAGTCTGCCGGGCAGGGAGCTGAGGTATCAGTGTAGTGCCCAGCAGCCCGTGGGAGTTTTTGCTGCCTGTGCTCAGGTCGGTCTACAGTGACATCGTTGTTTAAAAAGCAATTGCAATCTTAGGCTGTTTAGTAATGGATACTTAAAAAAAAAAAAAAAGTAAGTAACTGCCCTGTCTCTGTACCATCACGGCTCTGAGCAGACCTCTTCTCTACTATTTAGTTCAGTTCACATCATCTGTCTTGAAGAAGGTCATAGAAAATCTGGAGTCGTGGTCAAAGGAGTGTCCAGCGAGGACTAGGGCCCAAACATGTGTTATATGAGAAGAAATTAAAGGAATTTAGGTGTTTAACTTAGAGAAATAAAACTTCTAGGGCTGGGTGCAGTGACTCAAGCCTACAATCCCAGCACTTTGGGAGGCTGAGGCGGGTGGATCACCTGAGATCAGGAGTTCGAGACCAGCCTGGCCAACTTGGTGAAACCCTGACTCTACTAAAAATGCAAAAAATTAGCTGATGTGGTAGCACATTCCTGTACTCCCAGCTACTCAGGAGGCTGAGGCAGGAGAATCACTTGAACCCAGGAGGCAGAAGTTGCAGCGAGCCAAGATAGCATTACTGCACTCCATCCTGGGTGACAGAGCGAGAGAAAGAAAGGAAAGAAAGAAAGAAAGAAAGAAAGAAAGAGAGAGAGAGAGTGAGAGAGAAAGAAAGAAAGAGGGAGGGAGGGAGGGAGGGAGGGAGGAAGGGAAAAAAAAAGAAAGCTGTGGGAGGAGAACAATGGCTTTGAGGGACCACTAGGCCATGGGTTAGGGCATAAAGTAAAATTTCCAACACCCAGACGATCACCCACCCAAGATAGGACAAATGGCCTGGGGGATGGGGGGTTGAGATTAAGAGCTGCTGGAGGTGTCTGAGCATAAACAAAGGTGAGCACTTGACCAGGTTACTGTAGAGGGGATTTTCTAGTTAGATGGGGGTGGGACTACTGTTAAACAGTCTACTTCCCTTCCAAACTTAAGTTCAATGAAGAAATCTATGAAAATATTTGCCAAGGCAGACAGTTATGTTCGTTGGCACTAATAATAGCATTCATTAATGTCTTAACATTTGTCAATCTCTAATAGCTCACAGGATACTGCATACAGAATTAAGTATGGCCCCTCCATCTGTTTGCCTTCTGTAAAAGTGCTTAACAATTAATGAATGAAATGTGGTCTCATGTTGAAATAGACATTGAGTTTAGGCATTTGCAATGAGGCTGCAATTTCTTGCAGCAAATGTATGCCACTATTACTCTAGAAACAAGAACTTCACCAAACTTTAGCTATAGACTAAAAAGCACAAATAAGTCCAAAATTATGAATTATGAATATTGATACTGTGCCAGGTGCTACACACTGAACTACATATTGGTATATATAATTGGACACTACACTAAATTTGTTTGAAAAAGAAGAATAAGGAACAATAGAATGGCTCTGATTTTTTTTCTGTATTACTGATTTTTCACCCAATATCATCAGCTGTTCATTATAGCCTTCAATAATAATCACTCCTGAATTTATCCAATCCAGTTACCCAGTATTAGCTCTACCAGCAAATTGAGAACTGCAAGTTGCTCCTTTGGAGGTGCTAAATATTAATAAATTGATCAAATAGGGGCCACAGTCATTTTCTTTACTAAATGTTTGTGAGAAAGGCAGTGGTGGTTCAAGCCTATAATCCCAGGACTTTGGGAAGCCGAGGCAGAAGGATCACTTGAGCCCAGGAGTTCGAGACCGACTTGGGCTACATAGTGAGACCTCATTTCTACTAAAAATTAAAAGAAAAAAAAAAAAAGGTAGTCAGGCGTGGTGGCATACACCTGTAGTCCCAGCTACTTGGGAGGCTGAGGTGGGAGGATTGCCTGAGCCCGGGGGATCAAGCTATGACAGCACAACTGTACTCCTGCCTGGGCAATAGAGTGAGACCCTCTCTCAAAAAATAAATAAATAAATAAATAAAGTTTGTAGGTAGCATAAAGAGTCACCTTTGGGATTCTACATCAAGATTTTCTTTGCATAAGAACTTTCACATCCCAGGTCAGTGATGAGATTTTAACTGACTTCTATCACTGAGTTATTGATAAAAACCAAATAAAATACCAGCCAGTGCTCACTCGACTTATTCAGATGTGCTTTTTCTTCTTTCTTTCTTTCTTTTTTTTTTTTTTTTTTCTGAGATGGAGTTTCAATTCTTGTTGCGCAGGCTGGAATACAATAGCACCATCTCAGCTCATTGCAACTTCCACCTCCCGGGTTCAAGGGATTCTCCTGCCCCAGCCTCCTGAGTAGCTGAGATTACAGGCATGTGTCACCATGCCTGGCTAATTTTGAATTCTTAGTAGAAACAAGGGTTTCTTCATGTTGTTCAGGCTGGTCTCGAACTCCCGACCTCAGGTGATCCACCTGCCTCAGCTTCCCAAAGTGCTGGGATTACAGGGGTGAGACACCATGCCCGGCCCAGATGTGCTTCTTAAAATGCCAAGAACAAGGAGCTGGGGGCAGGTAAACTATACAGTGGGAAATAACTGACTAGCTTCGCTGGTGGTTCTAATGTGGAACAATAATCTTCCCTGCCTGGACAGACCTCGCCACCTCCCTTGCTGTTCTAGCAACCCTGGGGCTCCATCCCAGGGCTCCTATTGAATGTTCCCTGCCTCTTCTCACCTGGAGTTCAGTTTTCATTCCTGTTCTAAATGAGCTAAACACAGAAACTAAGCAATCGAGTGAGCCTTCCTTTTACATTAGGCAGTGCCCAGCTGCTTTGCAGCGGGACAGCTCCAGGCTCAGAATCTTGGGCAAGTCACTTCACACGCCAGCAACTCTGAGGCCACAATCCCTGCCTCCACAAGGTGTAAGCTTCAAAGGCAGTCATGTGTCCTTGAGGCCACTTGCGAACCATAAAGGCTCCTCTTACCCACTGAAGGTGGTAACTCAGGACAAACCACAGTTTCAGATTATGGTTCCTAAAGTGGGGCCTGTGGACCCCAGCGTTCAGGTGTTGGAGCACCCATCATTCTGGGTGTGTGTGTGAATGGACGTTTTACAGAGAGCAAGCGGGGAATTTTCAGTTTTCAACGGATTCGCTGGGAGCTCCACGAAGCAGAATAGATTAAGCATGACTCCTTTAAGAGCCTTTCCCCTGTCTGGGGTGTGAGGCCTGTGCCCAGCTTTGCAAACTGCAACTTGACCCAGCTGGGAAGCTCAAGTCAGCTCTTGTTGCCAAGTGACTGCCTGGAAGGGAATCGCCGTGATGGTGCCATTTGCCTCCCCTGGGTTACCAGCTGCGTCCCGCAACCCCTTTGCTCCTTACGTTAAGCCCTGAAACACTACCTGCCCACCCTTCTGAAGCCTGGCCCTCCTTTCCCAAGGTTGCCCCGCAGATCTGAAAGTCCCCCTCCCCCGCGCCATTGACCCCGGTAATCTCTCCACCCGAACTCGTGCAAGTGCAAAACCCTAGACCTGGTGCCCATCCCACCCCCTTGGCCCTGTCTGGGCTAAGGATGGGTCCCTTCGCCGCCACCCCATCACCGATCGCTCTCCCCGGGCACCCTGGAAGCGCCACGCGGGACGAATCCCTGGTGCCACTATCAATCAGCCTGGCATCATCCCGCTCACCTGGGCCCCAGCACAGGAGCAGGAGCAGGGCCAGCCCAGTCAGGGCCAGGACCGCGGGCCGCGCGGGGGAGGCGGCCATGGCGGCGGGGCGCGAGCAGGAGGGCGAGGGGAGCACTTGGAGCTGCTGCGCCGGAGGACTGGTCGCGGGAGACGGGTGCGAGGGGGCCGGCGCGGCCGCGGGTTATTCCTGCGTGGCTGCCTGGGCGGGACCTGGCGGGTCGGCGCCGCGCCAGAGGGCTGCGGGCCAAGTGGCTGCGCCCGGCGCCAGGGAGAGCACCGCCGAGGTCCCCTCTCCAGCCCCGGCCCCACGAGGAACGCGGCCCCCGGGCTACACGGTCAGGAATGCTCGCGGGGGGCGGCCGCGGAGAACCACTGGACGCGGGATGCCGCGTGGCCAGCGCCGCCCGCAGCGAACGCGGTAAGCGGTGAGGACAAGCTGGGTTCCGGAGACCAAGGGCAGGGCAGAAGGCATCCGGAGAAGGCACGAGGCCCCCTGGTCACTCAGACGGAGTACTTGCCGGATCCCAGCGCCAGGGTCTCTTCCTGGTTCCCCCACTTTCTCTGCCCACTCCAGCTGCGCCTCTGTTCCCCTTACTCGCCCCTGATACCTCGCCCCTTCCTTCCCCATCTCCCTCCCTCCCTCCCTGCTTGGGGGCCTTGCTTCTGCCTGGTTTATAAAGTGGGCTTTGGAATTTCCTTAGTTCAGAGCTGTTCTTAAGGATGCCTTAGGCGGTGCTGTGTTTTGGGATATTTTGAAAGACTCCACAGTCTGGGTTCAGAACTGCAGTCCAGGAAATCGTGTCACCCAAACTTCTCCAACAGAAAAGACTTTGAGAAACCAGGAACCTGGTGACCTACAGCTGTGAGCAAAACCACTGCTTCCCGTTGCCAGCTGTGTAAGCCGGCACACTTCAGCGATGTTAAGGTGAGGCCCAAGGGAAACGCAGAACTGCATCCCAGTAACCCGCCTGTTAAAATGTAGAGGACACGTGAAAGGCGGGGTGGTGAACAGAAACTAGAACTACCTTATCCCAGCTGACTCTGAGGGGGTCACCTATTACTCTCTCTAGCGCTGGGCTACAAAAGGATGGTGGTGTGAGATTACTTTTCCTGTCTTCCCATCTCAGATCTGCCCTGAACTGAGTTGATTACCTCTTTCCTTCATCAAGGTTCTCTCTTTTTTTTTTTTCTTTTTTTTTTTAGATTAATCTCACTCTGTCACCTAGGCTGGAGTAATATCACAAACACTGGTGTGATCTCGGGTCACTGCAACCTCCGTGTCCTAGGCTCAAGCGATTCTCCTGCCTCAGCCTCCTGAGTAGCTGGGATTACTGGCATGTGCCATGGAGCCCGGCTAATTTTGTATTTTTAGTAGAGATGGAGTGTCACCAAGTGGCCAGGCTGGTCTCAAACTCCTGACCTCAGGTGATCCACTCACCTCAGCCTCCCAAAGTGTTGGGATTACAGGTGTGAGCCACTGTACCCAGCTGGTTCTTTATATTTTCCAGTCGTAACCACTTACCATCCTTCCATATAATTAGCTCACCATGCAATGCAGTTGAATTTCTCCAGCAGGCAGGAGAAAGAAGTCTTCTAACATTGAGTTAGCAAAGGCAGATGGTGGCAGACCAAAGAAACAAGTGTGAAGTGGGTCTGAGAGTTAAATAACAGTACTGCCCAGGATGTCAGATAATATTACACATCTATTATCTAGGGGAAATGCTTCTAAACCCTTGAGGAAACTGTAGAATAGGGGATAGGAGTTTTAAAAGTAACTAGGCATGTGCCGGAACAAGAAATTTATCGTTACAAAGAAAAAACAAAGCACGTCAAAAGCCAATATTCTGTTTGGATTGGTTTAGAACATACATTAAACATAATGGCTATAATCTCTTATTTATCTTGCAGAGATCATTCTCCTTACCCCAAATTGCTACCAATATCTGGTTCTAATATGACATTTAAATTCTCTTCACTTAAAGTGGGGTGCGGTGGCTCATGCCTATAATTCCAGTACTTTGGGAGGCTGAGGTGTTCAAGACCAGCCTGGCCAACAGGATGAAACTCCGTCTCTGCAAAGCAAGACACCATCTCAAAAAAAAAAAAAAAAAAATTATCTTCACTTAATCGGGATATGATCAGAGAGTGTTCTGTAGCAGGGAGCCTCTCAGTCTGCCTCCAGAGGGGCTGCTAAACTCATGTGTTCAGCCTGGAGACACTATGTCAGTTCTTGAACTGATATCTAAGTTCCTTTTCATTTGTCTATTTGCTCAACAATATTTACTTATTGTCTTAGTCCATTTGGGCTGCTAAACAAAATACTGTAAACCAAGTAGCTTATAAACAATAGAAATGGCTTTCCCACAGTTCAGGAGGCTGGAAGTCCAAGATGAAGTCCCCAGCAGATTTGGTGTCTGGCAACGCCCTGCTTCCTGGTTCCTAGATTGCGTCTTCCTGCTGTGTCCTGATATGATAGAAGGGGTGAGGGAGCTTTCGGGGGCCTCTTTTATGAGGTCACTAATCCCACTCATGAGAGATCCATCCTCATTACCTGATCATTTCCCAAAGGCCCCACCTCCTAACACCTCACTTTAGGAGTTAGGATTTAATGTATGAATTTATGGGAGACACAAATACTCGGTTTGTAGCATTTATAAAATGCTAATTACATGAGACGCTATGAAAAGTCCTTTTCTTCCTAGTCACTTAAATTTGTCATCCCTCTCATGTACGAGACCGAGACCCTCCTTTCTCCCTCTGCTAAAGCTGGTCTGATTTTTTATTCCAGTGTTTCTCAAACTTAGTCTGAAAAATCTCAAGTGGCTTGTTAGTGCAGATTTCTGGGTCACATCCCCTGGAATTTTGTAGGCCTTGGGTGGGGCCCAGGTGTCTCCATTTTGTTTGTAATCGTTCCTAAAGGATGCTGATATCAGTAGTTCTCAGACTGTACTTTGAGTAACTCAGCTCATTCAGCTCTCCACCAAAACTTACCTGCTTCCCAAAGTCTCCACCTGGCCTCACTCAGTTTAATAGTGCACATTTTCTCTTCCTTGATACACCATACCAAACGAAACCCAGAGCCTTTGTTTCTGCCATGTGACACAGTAGCTAAAGACATGGGCTTTGGGTTCCACTTCGTTCTGCACCGTGCACAAACTGTGTAAGTAAATCACCTGTCTTCTCTAAACCAGAGGTAGTACGGGAGCAATATTATCTATCACACTGGATTAAGAGATCAGATGCACAGAGCCTGGTGTAGAGTAAACACTCAGCAAATGTATTATTGTTAGTACCAAAATTCCCTCTGCCTCTGAGTTCCCTACGCAGTGCTCTTCCACCTCTCTCCACCTCTGTGCTCCTCCCTTCCCCTGGCCTGGAGTTCTCATTTTGGATGATCCCAATCCACTCCACATACTGTCACACATTGTCAGACTGACCTTCTCAAACGCGGTCCAGACACGGCACCCCCACCCCTTCCATGTGCCTCAGGGGCCTCAGTGGTCCTCCCTCAGTGGCTTCTAGTTCACAGTTATCTGGCAATAGTGGATAGAGGTTCATGGGAAGTGCCATCACCCTGCGAGTATGCCACGAGCCGAATGCACACCAGGGAAGAGGGCAGGGTCTAAGACAGAGATGCCTCTGATTATGAGAAACCTCAGAGAGACCAACCACGGCAGGGCCACGTCCGACTTGACCCTGCCTCCAAGGAGCCAGCAGTAAGAGAGACTCAACATTTGAGTGAGCTTCATTTTTACATTGCTAAATGTTTTAGGTGTGAACACGGTATTGTAGTTATAATTTTAAAGCCCTGTCTGTTAGAACTATATACTGAAGTATTTATGGATAAAATGATACAATGTATGAGATTTCACTTAAAATAGCTGAGAACAAAGTGGAAAACAGAGCTCATTCTTTTGCCAGGAAACCACTTATGCAGTACTTCGCCCCCAATTATGTTATGTTCAGGAGCTACGGTCTGAAAGTTTCTGTTCTCCCAAAATTTGTATGTTGAAATCCTAGCCCCAAGGTGATGGTGTTAGAGGTGAGGCGTTTGCGAAGTGATAAGGTCGTGAGGGCAGAGGCTTCGTGAATGGGATTAGCGCTATTTAAAAAAGTCCCCTAGAGAGCTGTCTCATTCCTTCCGACATGTGAGAACACAGCAAGAAGGCGCCATTTATGAACCGGGAAGTGAGCCCCAACCAGACGCCGAATCTGCTGGTGTCTCCAGCTTGGGCCTCCTGCCTCCACATTTGTGGGAGATCCATTTCTGCTGTTTATAAGGCACCGTATCACAGCATTTTGTTATAGAAGCCCGAACAGACTGAGACAACAGGGGACTGTTATGCTATTCTCTGTTTATATATATTTATACATTTTCATAATAAAGCCCTATAGAGTCTTAGTGGCACTTTATTAACTATACATAAGAATACATAACGTACACAGAGATCTTCATATTCTCTATTTAGCCCTTAAACATATACCATAGTGATTATTTTCTTATGCTTCCTATAGTTTTCCCAATCTCCAAAACTCAAAACACATGTATTTGTTGTCTGCATCTTCACAGCATCATGGCTTTACTTACAACATTCTCTGGGATGCCATTGGGTCCTTATTGCTGCTAGTCAAAACCCAACTATTCCAGTTACCAATCACTGCTTCAAAACTGACCCCAGATTAGAGGCTTAAAGAACAATCAGCATTCTATTATGCACGCAGTCCCGGAGATCAGGAATTTAAGAAGGGCTCAAGTGAGTGGTTCTTCTTCCCCATGTGGTATTGATGGAGATCATCAGTGATACTCGGCTGGCAAATGGGCTGGACTAGAGAGTCCCAGACAGCTCCACTCACCTGTGCGGCACCTTGGGTAGCATGGCTGGAAGACTTGACTCAGCTGAGATTGTCAACTGAAGTGCCTCCATGTGGCCTCTCCAGCGTGATGGCTTAGGATCCCAGGGAGAGTATTCCAAGATCAGGTATTCCGAAAGATAAGAAGAGGAAGCTGCCAGTATCTTTAGGTCTTGGCCTGGTAACTGACACAAATCAATGCCATTTTATTCTATTGATCAAAGCAATCATAAAACCTACAGGCATTCAGGAGCAGGGGTATAGATCCTATTTCTCAAGAGGAGGGCATCAAAGGATTTATGCACATCATTCATCTGCCACATTTACCCACCTTCTAAGGCTAAGCTCTGATGCTACCTCCTTCAGGGGCTTTCCCTGCTTCTCCGTTTGAGCCCAGACCACATTTTCACATTTTCTCTTTCTTTTCTTTCTTTCTTTCTTTCTGCTTTGTATTTCTTTCTTCTTTCTCTCTCTCTCCTCTCTTTCTTTCTCTCTTTTCTTTCTCTTTCTTTCTTTTCTTTAGTCTTCCAAAAGAAAGTGTGGCTCTGACCCAAAA